CCCAAAACCCCAAAACCCCAAAACCCCAAAACCCCAAAACCCCAAAACCCCAATAAGAACGAAGTATATTGATAAAAATATAATATGGGAGCAGGGTGAGGAACATGTGCTGATTCATCACAATTTCATCCGAAGATCAAGCTGAAAGATCTATCAGAGATGAGTCTAAAGTAAGATTGCTATTAATAAATCCTCCTAGGTATAAACTAGAAGAGAAGCCCCTCAAATCAACAGGACATTGTACTGTATATAAGGCAGCTATGAATGAGGATGAGGAGAAATAAAGCCATTGTGAAAAAGATTTTTATTTCAAAGGTTCCAGAGTCTGAGGTTGAGGATTATATAAACCTCCTTTATGACCTTGACAAGCTTAATAATCATAATTTAGTTAAGTTGTACGATATGTACAGAAATGAAACCTATTTGTGCATTGTGACTGAGTATTGTGCTGGAGGAGATCTCTTCACCAAAGTCAAAGAGCACGGATTTCAATATACAGAGGTGCAGGTAGGAGAAATCATCCTAAGGCTTATTTGCATTTTGAGAGATTTTAAGTAAGTTTGCTCTTGTTAAGGTGTAGCAAAATTAAAACTAATTTGAAAAAGCCAAAAATCATTCATAAGGATATAAGGCTAAAGAATATTTATATGGATGAAAATGGTCAACCAAGGCTTGGAAGCTTCTCATTTTCTGAAAGGGTTAAAATTGCAAAACTCAAACAAACAAGCACCCATAATATACTTTTCAATGCACCTGAGGTTATAGACAGTTATAAATTCTCCCAAGCTTCTGATATTTGGTCTATTGGAGTTGTTGCTTACAGTTTGCTAGTAGGGCATGAGCCTTTCACGCCAAGAGACGCTACAGAGGCTATTAAGAAGATTCAGAAAAACGAGATTAACTTCTACCCCATTGAATGGAAGAAGTTTTCTAAGGAAGCTTACAGCTTTGTTCATAAGTGACTAGAGCCTAACCCTGATAAAAGAATCACTTGTGTAGAAGCTCTTAACCACTATTGGATGTCCTCGCTGACTTATGAAAATATAGGAATCGGACAAACAGCGAATAACTCTCTGCTTGATAACCCAGAGGCCGTCTCAGTGCATTTAAGTAATGCTGAGAGGTACAACTCTTTCCATAAGATGAAGCTTACTGGAGTTAAAGGAGAGAAAATTTCAAAATCAGGGTTCAAAAAAACTGGAAAAGTCCTCCCAGAGGATTTGAGTTATAACGAGCATCCTTTTAAAAACCAGAGTAGAGAGGAAAGTCCTGATAGAAAGAATGAAGGTGACGCAATGGTCCAGAAGACATCTCCTTAAGCCTAATAAGGAGGTTTACTATTCATAATTGGAGGCTATAATATTCTACTAAGCAGGCATCTGCTGGGGTTTTGGGGTTTTGGGGTTTTGGGGTTTTGGGG